CCTCTCACCTTCCGCATCTCTGGCCTGTACCCCAGTTCTATATGAATAAATAAATCTTTAAAAAAAAAAAAAGAAAAAGCTGAGAACAATTTCCATTTAAAATGACAAAATAGGGTAAGGAGGGAAAAACCTTTTTAACATCAGTTGTTTGAGTTCTTGTTCTTTTCAAGATTATTCCCTTTTTACACATAAATTACTATTATTTCGGGTGGTAGACTATGGCTGTTCTCTTGGGCCTGGCACCCAACACAATTTCCCAAAAAGCCTTCATTCCCACCACATGATTGGGCTGGAAGGGTATAGGATCAGCCTGTATCTCATGGGTCTAAAATGCTATCAAGTAAATCTCTTAAAAAAAATTTTTTTTTTCCCACCTTACATTGTCTTTGCCTTCATTACGGTATTTTGTTTGTTTGTTTGCTTTTTAAGCATAGAGATATTTAGAATCCAGGATTTGGTGGTGATGGTCACCTTGAAATTCTCCAAGGTTAGCTCTGGAACCTGTAGCCATTGGGGTAAGAATGGAATGAGCCTTTCCAATTAGCAATTGAGCAAACCTTGTGAAAAATGAAGGCAGCAGGGTTTTGCTCTGATGTCACTGCTCACAGCAAGACAGATCTGCTCTGTGGTTCTGCAGTCCTGAAGCAACTGGCAGGAGGTTGGGATGGGTTTTGATACAGAGACAGGAGCTAAGGTTTTGTGTCTCTGTTCCTTACCAATGAGATTATATTTCTTTGCACATTTTTAGGAAGGCCACTGGATGTAACATATTATAGCAAACAAAGCCTAATTTGCTGCTGCTTTAATCTAGCTTCAGTCCCTGGTGGGGAGGGAGGGGAATCTTACTGTGGGCATGAATTTGTAGACAAGAACCCAAAAAAATCTGTGACAGGCATAAGATCTCTGCATTTTATGAGGTTAGAGAAAATACATTTTTTTTTTTTTTTTGCTGCAAGTGATCCCATTTCCAGACACCGGAGAAATTGTTTAGAGGGCCAAGTGGTTCTGATGATTAAATCTCATGAAGAGAAAAGAAGCAAAAGAATTGTGGGGTAAGGACTGGAATAGAGGCTTTAAGAAAATGAGATTTGAAGACATTAGCATCCTACAGTTAATATCTAAGTATTTTCTTTTGACTTTGAAGATACTTTGTGTGGCTTAAAGATTCCGTGGTTCAGTTTTCTGAAGAAGACCCTTCTTCCCATTAAGAAAAGAAACCTTAGTAATTGATTTTTCTGGAACTCAGAAGGCTGACACTTTCAAACATCAAGTGAGTTACACAAAAGGATAACAAATTAATCATTTCAAAGTGTCATTTATCCTTGTTGTGAAGTACAACTTGGCACAAAGGATCTTTGACAGAATTTTCCCCAAACCTAAGACACGAGATCCATCCATAAAGATAGGGCTGAAGTGGGCAGAAGCTGGCAAGGTGGCTGAAGTGACTAAAGGCTCCATGTGATTAGTCCACTGATTATTAAAGAGCCAACCACAGGGATAAAGACAGCTTTTAAAGACTAGAACAATCTTGGAGAAGGCTACTTTGCCCATGGATGAAGCAAAGGTGTCAATTTCCAGTAAAAGAAATGTCCATAGATGGAGGCATCAATGCATTATTTGCAGAGAATTTCCTCTAGGAGGAAGGGAACATTTAGCGCTAACTCATGCAGCCATGTGCTTTGTGCTGTACTGTTGTAGCAGAGTGAGCGACAGTGGAGCATTTCTTCAAGAAGAACCTCTAGTGCCAGAGTAACTGTGGATTTATCTCTTGTGCTAGTCATTGATTTAGAGGCGACGACACTGAGTGAAGGCAGTTTTGAGAAGGATCCTGAGACCATGTGCAGTCTTGATGGGGAAGGGTCCTGAATCTGGGCACTGGTGGAGGCTGTGTGTGTTTGTGTCTGCAGGGTGTGAGATGACTGCTCAGGGATTGGGGTCCGGTGCTCTTCAGTGTTTGCACCCCTCTAGGTACAGGGTAGTGTCCTGGACTTCTGTGCTCACAGCATCAAGCTTCCATGACCCTAGCACTTCCACATTCCACTTGGTTTCCAGCCCCTTTCTCCAATTCTGCCTTTCTTACTGTTGTGCTGTGTGTGGCCATGGCTCCTCTGTCCCTCCTACCTTGCTGGACTTTCTGAGTGGCTCAAGTATAGCTCCCTTCTGCCTCCTTCCCACACCACCCCCAAAAACACACCTATGAATGAGTATCTATCCCTCTGGATTAGTTTGACTCCCTCCAGCTTCCTTTTCCAGTGTCTCATTGGCCCCTTGGGCAGGCTGCTGAGTGACCATGGACTTTAGATCATTAACTGGACTCCAATGTTGTCCTTACTGCCTCTT